TCAGAAAAAAGTTATATTTCCTTGATGCATGCTGAAGATATACTGGCTGAAGGAATAACTGTCAATTACCATGACAATTGTAACACACCACTGGAGATGAGTTTTCTGGGGGATCGGGAAGTTTCCGTTGGAGGAAAGGATCTCCAGAGTAGTTTATCTGGAGCCCCAGAAGAGCAGTTGCATAAATCTGGAAGAACCTCGAATGAAAATGCTGCCTCATCAGTAAAAGAGATATCCAATGCTCATAAGGATGGAGTTGCTAATACTTTGCTAGAAAGTGGCAAAGTTCAGAAATCCTTTTTGATAGATAATCCAACTGGCTTGCAAGTAGCCCAGGAAAGTTTGGTTGAAAGCCAGTCTAATGTTAATTCTGCAAAACCAACTGAATTGGTCACAGAAGAGAGTGCACTGGATTCTCATGCCGTTGGTAATCCTACAGTATCAACGGATTCTGATTTTACAATTGTGTCCGAACTTGGTTCTTTTAGAATCCCGGATGCAAAGAATCTTGCAGTTGAGAATCCTTGTGCTGCTTCCACGGATGGGATGAAGGGTAACTTGCCTCAGCCGATTATACAGTCACACATTTCTCCAAACTATGAAATGTGGAGTATTGGTGATAAGGTAGATGTAGGTTATACCAAATCAACTGAATGCCGGATTGCAGAGAAATCCAAGGGAAGAAGTTTTAGCTCTTCTATGGAGGGTTCATGGCCTCAGCATAAACGAAGAAAGATTGAGCACACAATAGTTGATGACCTGTCTTCTTCACAGGACTTGATAGAAAAGGTTTTTCACACTGTCAATAGAGTTTCTATTTGTGGAAACTTGGGAAGTGTAGAGCATAGTCCAAAGGCCGTACTAGAATCTCAAGGCCTTTCAATTTCTCAGGAGGATGTTGTGAAATCAATTGTCAGTAGGAGTCCAGTTGAAGAATCACATCAAAATGAGGATCACCAAATGATAGAGAGGTCTGAATCTTCACCTAAAGCACATATGAAAGAGGTACTCAATTTTCTGTTGTGCATTGATCTCTCTCTCTCTCTCTCTCTCTCTCTCTCTCTCTCGGCTAAGCTACTTCCCTTATATCTTTGCTATCCTATTTCGCAGTCTTTTTTTATTCGGGATTTCTGTTTACTTGTTCTCTTATATTGGTCAGGTTGCTTGTCTGCTATTATTTAATCTGTTCTAATAAGATTGTGTTTCACAGGGTGAAATCAGCGTGGGAGAGGGGGACAGAAGTGGGAATGCACCTTTCACTTTTATGCATGAAGAATTGGAAGCATCACTTCTCTTGAGTTTGATGAAGCAGGCTGCTGGCCAGTCTCAAGATTGTTTGATGGAGGAAACAGGAGTAGCACATCCAACTAGCACTATTGTTGATACAGGAAGTCCATGCATAGAAGAGAACCATGTTTCTCTTCCTCTTGAGGATAATCTTACACTAGGAAATGTTGAAAATTGGACTTGCGCTGGAAGAGCCATGCAGGAAAAGAGATTTGATCTTGGGGGGACCAGAAAATTTTCATATTTTTCAGTTGGTTCTCCACGTGGCCAATCCTTGGATTTGATTGGTGGTGATGATACAAAGCCTGAGCTTGAGGGGTTCGTTTTAGAAACAGATGACAAACCAACAAGCATTGCTCGAGGGGATATTAACTTTGATGAGTGCAACCTTCCGAGCACTACATTTGAACATGCCAGCATTTTGGAGCAGCTTTGCAAATCTGTTTGCATGCAAACTCCAGTAGCATGCTGTTCAGCTTCATATAAGTTGCACAAAATTCCAAATCTCTACCAGTCTGTTCCAACTGGGCTTCTAGAGGGCGGAGTGGATGTGAGGACCGCCTTGCCTATGAATGATGCTGTCAAGCCATTAAAGGATGGTAATAGTTGCTTGAGTGAGGAAGTTGGCCAGGCGTTTAATGGAAGGTCCTATTCTGATTGCCTACCAAATCGTTGTGGTCAATCTGGTTGGGACATTAAGAAGCCTTACATATCGCCAGTTGGGAAACTCTGGGATAGAACCGCTTCAAGCACTAGCAGTTCAGGGAAGCGAGGGAGCTTAAATCCAGAGCTTCCCTGCATTAGTGAAGAAAATGAGAATATAGATGAGGTAGCTGATACTTCCCGAGATGGCATTGTTTCAGAAGTATTAAATAGCTCAATACAGAGAGTACCACTTGCTGACATTACTGAAATTCCAAACCCTCCTGCATCAGTTTCGAAAGCTGAACTGCATGCTAATAGACTTAGTCTAGATTCAGTAAACACTGAATTCAGCTTAACGGAGACTCATAAGAGCTTCAAACTGAAGCATGGAATCCAAAACAGCATCAAGAGAAGATATAACGACAAGGAGAACCTGAGCATATCACGAGGAACAAATGATATTAAGAGGACCACTGGATCACTTCGTAAACCAAAATTGTCTGGAAAAACCAGCTTGAGAAAAGGCGGTCCAAGTTTGTTAGAGCGGGAGCCTAAGCGTAACAATATTGTGTCCAGTATGACTTCCTTCATTCCTCTTGTTCAACAGAAACAATCAGCTGCAGTTGTAACAGGTAATTTCTAACTAGTAATTTTAATCATGAAGAATTGTCAATTCTAGAACTTTTGAATTGCATTACATGTACATATTCCATCAGTGTATTTAGAGTGTGGATGATCGTAATGGTATGTGGAAACTGGGCTACAGTATGGATGATCGTTTTGTTTTTACTGAATCGAGGAGTGTTATGTTCGGAGCTGTAAATTAGTTTTGCATGTCTGGGATCATTGAGTAATAAAGTATTTTATTGGTAAACTCATCATATTGTTAGGAGCTTGACAATGATTCATCTGTTGTTTGATTGTATCATTGTGAATGTCCTGTGAAGATTTTGGAATCTTTTTCTTTTCTTTGTTTCTTTGTTTCTTTTTGTTCTCTGATGATTTGATTCAGTATTTGGAGCTTCTTGTGCTTTCTTGTAGGGAAGAGGGACATCAAAGTGAAGGCCCTGGAGGCTGCCGAAACTGCAAAGCGTCTTGCACAAAAGAAAGAGAATGAGCGCAAGATGAAGAAGGAAGCCTTGAAGCTTGAGAGGTCAAGAAAGGAGCAAGTGAATATGAGGCAGTTAGAGCTGCAAAAGAAACAGAAAGAAGAAGAGAGGAAGAAAAAAGATGCTGATATGGCGACAAAGAAGAGACAAAGGGAAGAGGAAGATAGGAAGGAGAAGGAAAGAAAAAGAATGCGTGTTGAAGCACGGAGACAGCAGAGAGAACATGAAGACAAGTTACCTGCAGAAAAAGAAGATAAAGAAATGAAATGCCAGGCCATTGTATGATTCTTCATGCCATTTCACATTTTATTAAATCTATCTTTTTGCTATTTTAGAAATCACATTCAGTATTGGACTGTCTTATATAGGATGGAAGAGGACATGAGAGTAAGGAATCTAAGGATGAAACAGCGCATAAGACAATGGAGGAAGAAAGGGAATATGACACTTTCAGGAACATTTCAGAGACTGAGCCTAGGACTTCCAGGGTTTCAACAAGTAATGCCAGAAGAGAGAGTATTATCCTTGAAGAACACAGTTTGGTCTTGAGTAATTTTGGATATAACGCAGAGGTAAATGCTAATGACTTCTTAAGAATTGATATTCACCTATCTTAGGATCTACTTGCATATTCTACAGCACGCGAGACAATTAAACCTATTCCTTTCCTCCGAAATAACATTTATTCATATGTTGAGTGGTTTTACTTGCATAGTTCATACTAGGTAGGCCTATGTGTAAGAGAAGTTCTGAGCGGGTAACTACTAACAGCTTATTGTAAACTCCAACCTGGCCACCTTTAGAAAGTTTTCTTGCACATGAATGGCTGCATATTTCGTGTACATTACTTTGTCTTACAGCTTCATGCTGATACTTCATGTGATCTTTAAGGTACCGAGCAATTTAGACAAAGCAATAGACAATGGGAATTCTGCTGCCAATACACATCCAGAACAGTCATATGAAATCTCTCCATACAGACAATCAGATGATGAAAACGAAGAAGATGGCAATACTATGCTAAATAGTAAATTTGTTCCATCATGGTCAAGGTATGCTTTTCAATTTTTCTCTTTTGTTTTAGGTGAAATACGGTCTTCACATTATAGTACTCTGCAATCACCTTGATGAAAGGAATACATTGTGTACCCTTTGAAACTGCCAACTCTGGTAATGCGCCTCTAAAACTCATTAATTAGTTGTTTCTTGTTCTCTACAGTAATAATTCCCTGGCTCTGGCTGTCTCTTGCCGGAATGGAGCAGACCCTGGGGCGATCTTCCCCGAAGAAAGCTTTTGCAGCATATCTGAAGGTACTTTTATGGTGTAAAGTCATTATCTTAGTAGCTAGCTATTGCTTTGCCTAAATATCCAAGTTATGCTCGTTTGTAGTTCTCTTGCCTCGGAAGCATCAGCTAAACTACAATGGAATGCGCTAAACTCTATTCAGTGTATTCTTTGCTCAACTAGTCGAACAGCTTTTGGTCAAGAAGAGGTAACAGTTGCACACTGTCTGCATGTTACCGTAAGCATTTTTCAAAGAGAAATAATCTTGAATTCTAATAATGTACCTTGTAAATTTAAGGAATGCTTGTTTGTGGCAGGTTTTCAAAAGACTATTTGAGCAGGCGATCCCTCCCAGCAAATTTGTAGCTGAAACTTGTAGAGTTGTTGCGATGTATAGGATTCTCTTGTAACTGTTACTGAGCTAACATCATGGATACTTCGGGGTCAACACCTATACTATTTTAACAGTTAAAGCTATGTGTTAACATTAATCCTAGATTTATTTAAAAGTGGTGATTTCCCCACTCCAATGTTATCCACTTACACTCCATTTTATAACTAAAAAAAGAGCGTAAGTAGACAAAATTGGAATGGGAAAATAATTATCCTTATTTAACTAGCAGACCTAAAATCCCAGGGGGTGAAGTTCCCACTGGGACCTCTTTAAATTTATATTTTAACTCTAACAATGACTCCCACTTGGAGAAAATTAATATGATAACCATAATTACAACTTACAAAGCAATTTGAAACTTTGTATTCTATGGCCACCATATAAGTGCTTTGGTTGATTTCTGAAATAATAATGCAACATACAAAAATTTCGAAAAATGCTAAGGACAATCGGCTGCACCTATTCCCACACAGTTGTCCATGGGCGATTGTCCAAAGCACTACTGAAAACCTTCTAGCTTCAAAAAGAAGGAAATCAAATAAGATATTATTAACTATTAATTATACTATTATATATATATATATATTAAATATACACGAAAATTATTTTGAAATTCTTAATGACATGCGCCTTCTAATTGCCAACATCATCATCAACATTCTTGGGATTTACTCTTGAAATCCACCATTAGTTTATTCAATTTCTTGTTGCTAATCCGCTGTTGAATGATCATCATATCATCCTGATCTTGGCTTTTGGGATATGAGGGGGCAGAAGGGGTCAACTTTCTAGCCAGCTCTACAGCATCTTCAGACCGATTGATGATGTTGTTGAAGCACAAATATCGACCGTAGGATGAGACATCTTCGAAGACGCAAATGTGAGCATCCACAAAGAAATCAACATCGACGGTCACCAACACGCCATCTTCATACATCTCAGCCGCTCCTTTCATATAGGGGTTAGTGATGGACAGATCAGGACCCATCAACAACCCTGCATTCACAGACACCATATTCAAGCTCCTGTCCATTGCTAAGGCCCATGCAGTCTTCTCTGCTAGGGTTTTTGATAGGGCATGCCACAACTGTTCAAGAACAAAACATGTAAGGGTTAGATTTAATTTAGTCAACATCAAGTAGATCCAGAAGTAAAGAGGAAATCTAATAATTCGATGTCACTTTTGAACACAAGGGAAATATGCCAGCTTTGCTCACCAAATGGAGCCAGAAAGCTTTCCTAAATATTTTAGTGGAGTGGAGGGAGCCATTACATATAGCTTTTCTAAAAGTCGGATATAGTTTGAGTCATTTTCTACTTTTGTCTCTGTCATTTCAATTTTCAATCTTAGCCCACATCTCGTGTCGTGCTGCCACGTTAGAGTGCCATAAGATTTCCGTCTTAAAAAATCATAGGGCTGAAATTGTTAAAATTGAGATTATAGGGACCAAGGTGAAAAGACTCAAACTACAGCTACCAAAAAATACAATTTCATCATATATATATTTTAATATTTTGTTAAAAAAAAGAATAAAAAAACTAAAATATAGTTGATATGCAAACTCAGGAGTCTATGGTCGCCAGACCTACATCATGAAGCTCTGCCATATCATTATTAAGAATTCGCACCAACAAACGGTAAAGTTCAAAGTTACTAAATTCCACACCAACAAACCAACTGTTGGAGCAGATTTTTGGTCTCCATGCGTTGTTAAGAGGATCACATTCCTCCTAACCTAACTACTTAATCAGCACACTCCGTAACTACTACTACTTAGTGTGGGGACATGAAGCCCTGGCGTCAAAGGAAAACTTCTATATCAGGGGATCACCCACATTCCACCACTCGTGATAACTTTTACAAGTAACAGAAGGTGATTGGTTTGGAGATAGCAACACAGTACTATCCCTGTGATGTGATATATAAGTTTTTCTCCTTGGCTTGGCAGTGGCACCATACACTTTGTCCAAGTTGTCACTGGTTTTTGGGCCACAAAAGCACCAAAAAGTCTTGTTTTAGTAAGACCCTATGTGATAATAAATAAACACACCCAGTTGACTATTTCAGTTGGAAATTAATACCTTGAAATTGCGACAGAAATTGACATCAGTCCAGTGTCGTTCATCCAACTCCAGAGTCATTGATTTACGGTCGCTTCTCCAAACCACAGCCGTGGCTGAAGATGTGAACACAACCTTGTCTATGGTTTCTGTTCTTGCACATGCTTCTAGCACATTGTGTGCTGCTCTCACCTCTACTTCTGCCATGTATTCCTACAAGTCACCATCAAATCTCAATAAAATGATCAAAAACTTTAAAACTGCATAAACACATGATGCAAAATTTGAACTTATTAAATAATTTAAGAGGAAATGACAAAAGGGTGTTTGAAAGGAAAGAAACTCTCTTGTAACGGGAATAGGTTTTTTCGGGTTGAAAGGTCAGTAAAACTGCTATTATACAGCTAAGTAGCATCTCATCTTTCGAAAATTATATATTTCCACTGCTCACATCTAATCAAATTGGCTACCCCATTAGAATTTAAAAAAACAAAAAACAAAGAAAAAATTCCAAGTGGATGCTAAAACGTGCGATTAGAAAAGTGTATACCTGCGGATGCTATCAATTGCTTCAAGCTCTGTCCCTAAACTTACTGAATAAAAATAAAACTAGGTCCCATTTGAAATGACTGATCTTGAATCTTAGTATCTAGTTCTTATTATTATATAGTTAAACAGACCTCGATTGAACCATTGACAATATATAATTTTTATATTTGTATTAGAAGAAACAGAAGCACATGGAGATCATACATGCATGTTGACTGAGTTACATCTAAGTTATAATTTCAAATCTACTATATAATATTCGCATGTAATGTTTTCATATTTCTTTTTTTCACGAATCTAAATTCACTGTCAAATCCAAATCTAGATACAACACCCTTATTTCGACAACTTCTCCCTCCCCAATAAAGCTTGTATTAAAAAAAATTAATTTATTTATTAAAGTAATTTTGGGTCCATCTAGAATCACTCTCAAACGAACCCGAAATGTTTATTAAAAATCCAAGTACTTTTCTTGATTTATAAGCACTTCTAATATTTTCTGTCAAACGGTAAAAAAAAGAATTTAATGATTAGAAGGTACTTTTAGCCCTCAACAAGCAATCACTTATTTATTTATATTCACTACTCCAAAAATAAATTTCCAGTAATAACTGAAATGACTGTCGGCCCTCAAAAGGAAGCAAGAGATTGAAATAGGAATTGACAAGCAACTCAGTGAGCAAATTAAACTGGAGTGATTTGAGTTTACTTGACGTAAATGAATGTTGCTCCTCTAGCCACCATTGAAAGTGCATGAAAAATGAATCTCCAATCAGAGAAAGGTTAACTGCATCAGTTCACATCATTAAATTTCCTTTTTTATTAAAAATTTGTTTGAAGTTCATGTTGTATACTTTACCCTTCCCTCCCACCTCCACCCCCGCCCAAAAAACAACCCAAAACGTTCACTACCTTCATTACATAATCATCCCAACTTCAACAGTTGCCTTATCGAAACAAAAACACTTCCACAGTTGCAGTTTTATTTTTATACAAGCGATATTGGGGGAGGGGAATCGAATCGTAAGACCTCGAGTGCAGGGATAAATTGCACTTAACCAATGCGCTACAAGCCCTTGTAACTTCTTTTTTTTTTGGGGTGAGAAAATCAGAAAATTAAACTCAACTAAAAATGAAAAAGTGCAGAAGATGGATGGGAAGAATGGAACATACATCATAGTTGGGTTGGTCTGGTGGAGGCTCAAATGCATAGAACAAGCCAGAGCAACCTTTGAGAGCATCAAGTATGCTCTGGTAGTCAAATGGGTCTAAATTGAATACTTTGAGCTTCTTTTTGTCACACGAAAGCTCACCCAACCGCGATTCACCTAATTATTCAAACACCCCCAAACCAATTAAGAAACATAAAATGATAAGAATAATTCATAAATATATATAAAAAAACAGAAAGTAATTACAAAGAAAATAGATTTTGATTAAAACCCACCATGGCTCTGAAGGGCAGCATGGACTGTGTAACCCCTTTGCAGAAGGCGCTCTGTGAGGGTGGTGCCTACGTGGCCTGATGCATCCATTACACAGACTCTGTTGGAGGTCTGGTTGATAGAGTCCGATGCTGGTGCCATTTTTAAGAGAGAGAGAGAGAGAGAGAGAGAGAGAGAAGTATTTTTGGGTTCAGAGAAGGAGCTGGCAAGATCAGTGGGGTTGCAAGTTTTTGATTATTGAGAGAGGGAGTGATGGGATTTATATAGAGAACAAGTTGTCCCAAATTTAATCTGGAGACTTTGGAAAAACACAAAGAATAAATAAATTTTGTAAAATAAGTAAAAATAGACAAAATTACCCTTATTTATTATTGGATTTCTTAAGGAATTTTGTACCTTTGCATATCTTTAATTTGAAAGTTTAGAGGTTTTTCTTTCTTTTTTTAAAAAATTTTGGTTTTTTCCAAAAGTGAATTTTTTTTTTTTGCTAAAACCTAAATTTACTAATTTAATTTGGACCAAATATTTCAAAAGAAAATTATACATATATTATTAGCTCATATTTGAGTATTTAAACTTTAATACATCTCGTCTAATACGGTATCAGAGCTCTAATTTGAAACCTTTAACTTCATCCTCACTTACTATTTATGATATTAACATGAAACTGAAGGTGTGCACAAAAAAGTGTTCGCTTGATATACATTATTGTTCTATACTTTTAATTAATAGTCGTTTAATATTCATATACATTTGATATTTTAAATAAAGAAATATAAATATGAACTCGAATTAAGAGGATTATGCAAACATCTATACACATCAAGGTTTTAATCATCATAATAAGGAGAAAAGCTGTTATATTCAGTTCGTTGATGAATTATTGATGGTCATTATTTAGTGAAACTCTTGGAAGTAATGAATTATGATCAGAACGAATTTATTGCGTTGAAAAAGACCAGGGGAGGTTTAGATAAAGAAGTAGAAGAGCCAGAAGAGAAGGAGGGAGAGAGACGGGTGGCTGGCATTCAAAGAGCGTGGAGAACTGGGGGATAGTTGGGAGGTGGTTGTTATGACGGGAAGACGTAATTTGGTCACATAATAAATGTATAAATGGAGTTTGGTGGGAACATGTGTCTCCATTATATTTCACACACCAGACATTCGCATACCTAATCAAGCCCACCCATCTACGTACTACAACAACAGCTGTATTTATTTCTTTAATTCGTTGATTTATTATCATCTCCAATTTCTTTTAATAATACAAGCATAATTTAACTAAAGGATTATCTACTATAGACATTCCTGAACTTGGCCCTCAGTTGGGTCCGTGAACTTTTTTTGTGTGCCAATTACATCCAGGGACGAATTCATAATTTCAAAACTCTGCGGGTTAAATTTACCTTACGTATGCAGGAAATTTCAGCAATGAGGGCCATATCGCACTAAGTTGGACTTTACAACATGTGTGAGAGAAAAAAAGAGATATGCATAATAAAAAAGGAGAAACGAAGGAAAAAAAACAAGAGAAAAGAAAAAAAAAGAAAAAATATATATATATATATATGAAGAAGAAACTGTGGGGAAAAGCTCAATTCGTAGTGTAGATCCAAACCATAAAAAATGGAGAAACAAAGGAAAAAAACAAGAGAAATGCGGGAAAACAAAAAGAAATAGGAAGAAGAGAGAGAGAAATGAAGAAAATAAGAAAAATAGAGAATATGGGTATTGAATTTTTTTTTTTTTAATGCATGGGCGAGAGAGAGAGAGAGAGAGAGACTACATGGATATTGACAACTAAAAAAAAGCATGGGCTATAGCCCATACAGCCCAAGAGAGAGAGAGAGAGAGAGAGAGAGAGACTACATGGATATTGACAACTAAAAAAAAGCATGGGCTATAGCCCATACAGCCCAACAGCTAGATTTGTACCTGATTACATCTATTAACACGATAAATAGTTTTAATTAGGTTCTACTGTCCAACTCTGTCTATTTATCTGTCAAAGAACTTCACCTTCTTCATCCATCATCAACCCTAAAAACCCCACCTCCATCTTCACAAGTTTACAATACAAATCCATATCAAACAGTTTGTGATTGGTAGAAACCACATAAAAGAATTTAACCCCAAAAAGAGAAAAAACCATGCTATGAATTCAAAGGTCTGTGAAATATGTACAACCCATTTGTACACTAATAATTCCTACAAGCCTCACTGCTCTAAAACCCAACCTGACAGTGACAACACAAACACACCGCCTAAGCCACCATCGTCGTCTGCACTGTCACAAAAACCTAGTAATTATTCTGCCAATTGAAAGATCCAAGTTGAGGTCACTACACTTATACATATAATGATCTTGCAATTTATGCTGTTGTTGTTGTTGGTCTTCCTCTGCGGGGGTCCCACTGCTGGCCTCTTCTATGTTGTCCTCGGGGAGATGGGGGGTGGGTTGCAGGTCGGGTTGGGATCTGGGTTTTAAGGGGAGTGGGATAAGAAGGGGGGAACGGGTTGCGAGAGAGAGGGAGAGATAGAGCGAAAGAGAGAGGAATTGGCCTTATGCTGGCTACCTTATTTTTTGGCTTGCTAGCCGTAATCTTCAACCTTATTTCATGTTTTGAATATCAGCTTGAGAGTTCCTCTTGGAACTCCTGTATGCCAAGGTAACAGTGAAAGGCCCAGCACCATTGGCCGAGACAACAGTTTAGTGGTACAAGAATTATTTTTTTCTTTCACCATTTTCAGTCTTTTTCTTCATACTCGAAAGGACGTTTTTACCCTTCATTTTGACGGACAAATTGACAGAGTTTGATGGCCGGACCTAATTGCAACTATTTGTCCAGTTAAATAATGTAATTGGCACCAAAAAAAAAAGTTCACGGACCCAATTGTAACTGGGGGCCAAGTTCAGAGACGTCTACAGTAGATAATCCTTAACTAAACTATAAAGGGAGGGATTTCTCACACATATTACTGGGGGTTCGAACTTGAAACTACTTGTGTGCAAGTCAATGCCCTTTTTCACTGGATTAGACTTTGTTGACCATCTCTAAGAAGAAAACTTGCTCTCAATATAGCTCATATGTCATTCATATAATATATCAAATATCTTCAGTAAAGGAATGCTAGTTATATTTCACTTTTGCCTTCTCGTTCCTATGTTTCTTATTCAATTTGTGTTATGTGTATTCTATTCATATATAAATCTATATGTTTAATGTGTTCAAAAGCCAAATTAACACTTTGCATTTGATGTATGACGAAATATGGGTCAATTACGATGTGAAAAATTAATTAAAAAGTGGCTCAAAGTTGGAAGGAAATTATGCAAGAAAGAAAAATTTCAATTAAATGTCAATTATGGCTCTAGGAAAAGAAGGAAGACAATTGTTGGGATTTTCTAATTGATTGAGGAAGTTTGAAGCAATTATGATTCTGTCAAGATTGTATTTAATTTAATGTTTTATTTTATAGTTTGAAGAATAAGTTATCTATTAGGATAATTTTCCTAACATGATTTTTATTATTAGCTAAGTTTAGGAATATTTTAGAACTTAAGGTTTCCTACGGTTTTATGGTTTCTTTGTTTTCTAGTCAAACCAACTCATGACGTTGTATTGGTAAGTTATTCATCTTATTTTCAATCAATATATTTGAGATTTACTCAATTTCTCATATGGATTCCAGTTGTTAACGGATTCCGATATTGTCACTGCGTCGGTATTACATAAATCGATAAATGAGTGAAATAAATGTGACATAAAGTGAATGAGAAAGACGAGAATAGAAATACAGGACAAAAGGTAGGTAGAATTCATCTGTCAAGTATGAGACACCCGTCAATAAAACAAGTGTAAATAAGTTTTTTACTTGTCATTTTTTGCAATGTCATTTACATGATGATATACCAAGTGTCCATCGTAAAACGGATGTAGACAAACTTTTCTCTAGTTGAGGAGATATGTGTTTCGCTTCTTGTGGGAGTTTAGGTCCCATGCCGTTATGATATGGAGTGAAAGAGCTTTTTGGTTTGTTTGTTTTTTTTAATTTTTGGGTCCACCGATTGACCGATTTAGGCCTCACACCCTTACGCCATCAGAAGAAACGTTTGGCATTTTCCTTCTTCTTCTGTCTAGCAAATTTGATGTCATAACACTTACAGTCGACACAATAATTTTTTTTCTTCTTTTTGAGTATACTCAAATTACAGCACGAAACAACGAGGACAACCAACATCCCCACGATCAAAATTAAAGCATTGGGATAGCAGAGAGAGGAAGAAAACATGTCCATACATATAGTGATGAGTTAGAAACAGTATTAACAATTAACAATTTAGAGCATTTACAAAGGGCTCCTTAACTCTAATCATACTCCCTATCTATCTCATAACATAAGAAGATCTCCAAGAGCTCCTAAATCTGAGAAGAGAGAAATGATTTCTAGTAATTACCTATAATTTAATGAGTATTTCAAACCTATAATTAATGCTAATTATTTGTTATATTATTTTTAAATAGAGATGGACCAATTAAAAAAGAGTTATAACATTTATGACTCCCTAAACTAGGGAGCATGATTGGGGTTTAAATTTTATAGAGAGCTCCTAAAATAACTTTTATATGTTTTTAGCTAAATTTTAACTAAAAAAATAGAGAGCATGATAGCACAAATTAAAATAAACTAACAGTAAAATCTAAATAAACGACTTATAAGCACAAATTACTTAAGAAATAACCTTAACCATGTATTTAACATAAAAACTACAATTTTTATGTGTAACGAATCTAATCGCCATATTTGAAAATCTTAATCACAATGAAATGGTAAAACCAAAAAAAGATTTTGTAATTTCACATAAATGACATCAACCAATAAACAACCCACATGCCGTATGATATTTTGAGTTTTTTTTTTTTGGGGGGGGGGGGGGGGGGAATGATATGAGATTTTAAGTTAAATCACTATAGTGGAAAATGTAACATGCAATTTTTTGATAAGAACATTGAAAAACAAAACGACAGAATTGCTATAGGCCCCAAATATGAATTACAAACTTGATACACTAGGCAAATCTTGGGGTCCATTTCCACCCAAAAAAGAAATCAAATTTGGGTCGGTCAATGCTTTTCAACTTAAACCCAACGTTATCTGACAGGCCCATAATTCTTCTAACTGTTCTTCATTTAGAGAAGATCAGTAATTACATTTTAAGAAAGTGTGA